GCTGCACCTGGATTTTCACAATGTGATAAACAAACCACAAAAACAGCAACATTGTATGTTTTGCCAAAGCTGTGGCAAGCAAGAGCAACCAAACATGCAGCTTGTTCCCAGTAAGCCAGGGGTCATGTGGCTCCCAAACATAATGCCATGCAACTGAGACAGCCGACTGGAAATGGTTCTGCAAGATTTCAGGATTTTCCCCACTCTTATTTGAAGATGATTAGCCAAGACCTTGCACTTACAAAATGTCTGTCCTCTAATAAGCTATAACCTGTCCAAGACTTGGGATCTTTTAAATAAAGTTATATGTTATAGCCCATATGGACTATGGGCACCACAATTCAAGAAGGATACTGACAAAATGGAACATGTCCAGAGAAGGGTGACCAAAAAAGTCTGAACATCAAGTCCTATGAGGAGCAACTGAGGAAGATGGGTATGTTTAGCTTGGAGAAGAAAAGATTAAAACAGGTTATGATAGCCATGTTGAAATATTTGAAAAGGATGTCACATTGAGGGGTCAAAACTGTTTTCTGCTGCTCTAGAGACTAGGACATTGATTCAAATTGCAGGAATAGAGATTCCTCCTAAACATCAGGAAAAACTTCCTGATGGTAAGAGATGTCCAACGGGAGAATATGCTGCCTTGGAGTGTGGTGGCGGCTCCTTGGAGTCTGGTGGTGGGTTTTTTTTTAAAGCAGAGGCTGGATGGCCATCTGTCAGGGGTATTTTCAGTGTTCCTGCACGGCAGGCAGGGACTGGACTGGATGACCCTTGTAGTCTGTTTCAGCTCTATAATGCTATGAGTCTGAAATGAGGTGGAAGAGTCTATCAGCATATTTTCAGAGTCCTCAAAGAGGACAGTAGTGGCCACAGCTAGGAAAAACAAAGCACCAAATCAGGAGCACTCTGGAATCTTCTGTGATCTGAGAAATGTTTGCCAAAGGAGATCTCCTTAGATTTTTGCCTGTTAAAGCAGATCCACTCATACAACTATCAGAATAGAACCACAAGACCCCAACTAGTAAATAGTCACAAACCTTGAATTAAACCAAAAGTCATTGCTAGGTGTCCACTTCCTATACATATAGAAAGGTTATTTCAAAAGCAGAGTCTGTTTTACAAATCCCAGACCAGATTGCTTCTGTCAAACAAATCATTGAGAAAATATGCCTAAGCCTGTTTTGAGCAGCATTGCAGAGGATTAGTTAATTCTGAGTAAACAAGTATAGATGATGTGCGTTAAACAATGGCATGTCAACTGACCATAATACACTCCTCAGTGTTAGTGATTGAAAGGAAAATAATTAGAACACAAACTAAGTTTGAACTGTAGTTGTAAAATCTATAGATTAATCTCAATACACGGGTATCACTTTTCAAAATACAATTCATTCCATGTAACAGATTTTATACAATACACTGATTTAACCTATTTAAAAACTTCAAATCAGTGTTACATTCTTATGTGTAGTGATTATACATAGAAATTGACAAGAAAATGCATCTGAAGTCAATGCTGGTGTTTTGTCATGCATTACCTGAGTATTCTTTGTCTGATGAATGTAGCCTTATACCCTCTGCTGACTTAAATGATGGATTGCACCAAAATACTGGTCTATCACAGCCATTGGGATCCCCCATTCCAAGTACTTTAAATCCCATTTATTTAGAACATTATCCCTAACTACTTGGGATCCCTGACTGTTCCTTTATGCACAAAGTACTTACAGAGTATTATCTACTTTTATTTAATAACTAGCTGAAAACCAGTTATTAAAGCTTGATGGATGAAGGATACCTTTTCCCCCAAAACCATAATGACCATGTAACCACATCCTCAAGCATCACACCTATGCCTGAAGCAGAGAAGCTGGCCTGACCTAATCTCCTACAACCAAGTTCTGTATGGCTTAATAAAAGCACATGACAAGAGAAAGGGCATGTATGGAAAAGATCACTTGAATCACCTGCCAAGAGAAGCTGAACTGATAAAACTGAAAACACTGCATTTAGTGCAGGACGTAGCTTTCAAAAAGAGGAATGGCATATGCAAGAAAGCAAGAATTACCCACGGGGGACACAGCTGGGAAGACGACAGGCCCTGTTCTTGACCCTGGTTACTCATATCATTAAAGCAGCAACAACCAGTCAGCACGTACTTATCTACTGCCATAATTTATCTTCTGCATATAGACAATCATATGCTGATGCAACTTATCACTGTGAAAATAAAAAAGCACAAGATCCATGCTATTGCCAAGAGCAATACCCATCAGGACTGACTTAGATACAAACTTATTTTGCTCTTTAGATCCCCAAAGAGCATGGTAATGGCTTCCACATGAATGAAAGTAAACAGACATGTATATATGTAAAGGTTATTAAGGGGATATACTCTTCAGTGCTGCAGTATTTATTCACATTAGCCCTTCCACCATCCAGGAGAACAATCAGCATCCACTCATGTGAGTATATATATGTGTATGTTTGCCTATGTATGTAGATGCTGTAATCCGCTCAAAGTTCCCTAGGGGAGAAGGGTGGAATATAAATAAAGTGTATTATTATTTTTATTATTATTTCCCAAAAATCACTGCTTTCAAAAAAAAAAATTCCCTCTCCGTGATGGACACAGTGGAAAGAAGAGAAACAGATCTACTTTGGTAATGTTCATTTCATGAAATGGTTCAGGGGCCCAATTACATATCTTTCAAAGTCAAGTCTGTGGTATTCCTTTCTCCTCACTTCAACTTCCAGCAAAGGTCCAGAGCCCATATTGAAAAGGAATAATGATATGAAGTGCTAAACAAGTCCAAAAAAGGGTTCTAAACAATGGAAGCCTCAACTCTCCCCAGAAGACAACAAAGACTGTAATACTTTGGCCGTATCATGAGAAAACATGATTCAATAGAAAAGAAAAACAATGCTTAGTAAGGGAGAAGGCACTAGTAAAAGAGGATGACCTTATTTCAGAAAGATGGACTCAACCAGGAAGTGCCAGTTCTGAACCTGCAAAACCTGAGCAGGGCTATTGATATTGGAGGTATCTCACTCATGGGTTGCCTTAATTCAAAGTGAACTTGATGGCAGCTAAAAACAAAAAAAAATATCATAAGAGGAAGGTGAGTCCAGGAAGCCTGATGTGCAGCAAGGGATGTGTCTGATGTCACTATTCTTGTGTTTAAATGGTAGAGAAAGCAGCCCACATGATACTAAAATGATGCCACCATTCTCCTGGAAACTGGGATTTGAACATGCAGCAATGTACATCATTAGAGAGAGAGGAAACTGCCAGCACTGAAAATCCCTGCCTCCCTCAGTATCTTAGAAGGTTCCACAACCCTCAATCACCCTGTATCAGAAAGAAAAGATTTAAGGTGTGGATGCAGCGGGCAGGTACATCATACAGGTGGGCTGGTCAGGAAGTCCCGATTGGCTGCACCTTCCTGCAGAGCACACCTGGGCTCACCTCTGCATCAAATTGGAAATGGTTCGAGGTGAGAAACTAACAAAGAACACAGATTTCAGGGAAGTAAGGAGATCCAGGGGGATACTCTGGACACAAAGTTAACACATGGAAGAGAAGAGTGGTTAATGTTTTCTGCCCCCTAAAATTTCTAACTTAAGTCACAATAATTCTCATTCACCCAGAGAAAGAGATCAGATCTGATTATAAAAACAGGAGGTGCTTTTCTGCCCAAGATAATAGCAACACGCATCATTTACAGAGCGCTTTAGAACAACCACCAGGAAAGATAGGTCAGGGATGGTATTTCACAGATGTAAGAAAACAACAAGGGAGGAGCATGGCCCTCTTTAGACACGGATCCTGCTGAGATGCCTCCCTTCCCCACCCTGAAACAATCCAGCAGCTGTCTGGCCAAGGGGAAAAAAAATAAAAACATGTAATAACCCAGGATCATGTGCCAGTGCTGCTCCATCTTTCCTCCAAACCCCAAAGGGGGGCAAGGTTGGATGGGGTGGGTGGGCACAGCCTTCCAGTCCTCCCTCCGGATGGCTCCCACTCACGCCCCCAAAACCCTCCTCCTTGCCACTCCCCCCACCCAAAAAAAATCCTCCCTCCACAATGGAGCCCAGAAATACGGACTTCAGTCCCCTTCCCTGTACACACAAACAGGAAATCTCCACAGCTGAAGGGGCCCTGGGGGAAAAGACCAAAGCCTTTGGCCCCTTCCTGCTTTCTTCCCCGAGGGGAAGAGGGAAGGGACCAAACCCCTTGGCCACCCACTTCGGTTGGGGAAATTTCCAGGATTAGGGGAAGAGACCAGGATCCCTTTGGAACAGTTCTCTCCCTTTTATTATTTCTGTAAAGAAAAAAAGCAGCAGCAACAACAACAAACCCCTTCCTTCCCTCCTCTTTTTCCCTCCCTTTCCTTCCTTCCCTCCTTTCCCTTCATCCATCCTTCCGCTCCTTCCTTCCTTCCCTTCATTTCCCTCCTCAGCCTTCCTTCTTTCCTTCATTTCCCTTCTTTACTTTCCCTTCCCCCTTCCTTTCCTTCCCTCCTCTCCTTCCTTTCCCTTCCTTCCTTCCTTCTCTTCCTTTCCCTCCCAACTCCTTTCTTGGGAGGAAAGAGGCAGGCAGCCCTCTGAAACAATAGTTTCCCTCTCACGCTCCAGAAATGGAAGGGAAAAGGGGGGTTTAAAATGGAGTGGGGAGAGAATCGGTAAAGAAAACGTGGGGGTGATCTATAACAAAAGGGGGGGATCTCCTGATTTAGGTTTTTCGAGAAAGGGGGGGGGGTTGTTCCTCCCTGGGAAAAGAAGCCAAAGCTTTGAGTGTTGGGAGAGGGAAGGGCGGCTCTTTCCTGCCTGCCTGGCTCTTCCACCCGGGCGCGCTGGCTAGGCCAGGCCCGGGACGAGAGGGCGCCTTCCTTCCTTCCTTCCTTCTTTCTTTCCCTCCTGCCTGCCTTGCTTCCCCCTCGGCAACTCCACAAGTTGGCGGCCCCCTTCCTCTCCCCTTGGCGTTTCTTTCCTACCTGGGACGCGGGCTGTCCTCTCTGTGGGCTCCCTAGGAAGAAGGAGGAGGAGAATGGCAGGAGGGGGGGCCGAGGGAGGAGAGGAGGCTGCCCTCCCTCGCTGGCTCTTTTGTCTCCGCGGCGGCGGCGGAGGGAGAGAGAGGGGGGGTCTCCTCCTCCGCCTCCCTTCGCTTCTTCTCCTTCCTCCTCCTCCTCCTCCTCCTCGCCGTCGCTCGGCGCGCCCAAGGCCCAACGGCAGCTCCCTCCGCCTCAGCCCCGCAGCAACGGCTCCGGGCCCCTCCCCTTCCACCCAGGCGGCAGTCAGGGCCCTCCTTCCTTCCTTCTTCCCTTCCCTCCCTCCCTCCCTTCCTGCCGCTCGGGGAAGGCGGCGACGGGAGGCCCAGGATCGCCAGCCTCCTCCTCCTCCTCCTCGGCTTCCTTCAGAAAGTGGGAGGGAAAGGCGGGGCCCAGCCCTCTCCTCCTCCTCCTCCTCCTCCTCCTCCTCCCCAATGGAGGAAGGGACAGGGCCGGCCTTCACTTGGGGCACGCCTACACTCCCTCCCTCCCTCCTTCCCTCCCAAGTGTGACGAGGGGGTTCCCGGCCTGAGGTGGCTCCAGCCCCCGGCCCGCTTTGGTGGCCTAACGTGAGACATCTCGAGTAGGCGCCCCTCTTCTCTCCAAGTTTGAGACTATTCCATCTGAACATGAGGAAGAACTTCCTGAGAGCCGTTCAGCAGTGGAACTCTCTGCCCCGGAGAGTGGTGGAGGCTCCTTCTTTGGAGGCTTTTAAACAGAGGCTGGATGGCCATCTGTCAGGGGTGCTTTGAATGCAATATTCCTGCTTCTTGGCAGAATGGGTTGGACTGGATGGCCCATGAGGTCTCTTCCAACTCTAGATTCTATGATTCTAGGAAGGCAGCAACTCTTTTTCGACTAGTGTTGTCGAAGGCTTTCATGGTTCAAAATCACTGTAAGTTTTCCGGGCTGTGTGGCCACATTCCAGAAGCATTCTCTCCTGACGTTTCGCCCACATCTATGGCAGGCATCCTCAGAGGTTGTGAGGCCCTTTTTCGGGCTGTTTTTGTGCGCTCAAAGAACGCTTCTTTTCAGGCTTCGGACAGGGAACGCTCGCGAGGCTTAGGCCGCATCGGCAACATAGAAGGAATGCAGCTTAACGTGGACTCAGTGCCAAGAGAGATCCAGTTTGACGGGGCGCCCCTCCTCTTCGGTAAAGAGCGCGTAGGACTACAGCTGCCAGGATCCCACAGCTTTGAGCCATTGGGCTTCTAAGGGGTTCCAACCCGCAATAGTTCTACAGTGTAGATGCAACTTTTTAAAGATCACTGTTTTTGGGTATTGCCAGGTGAATCTCCTTCCTGGCAGGGCGAAAGGACTTTGCGGGGGGCTTCACCTCGGATGCCCGGTCCAGGCTAGGGTGGAGTGGCCCTCCTTTGTTTCTCCCTACCCCCCCCCCCCCCCCCCCCCGGCTAAAAATAGAACCCGTCTCCCGTTCCCAGAAGGGCCACCCGAGAGGAAAGGGAACTTTCAGGAACCGCGTCAGGGGCTCCGAGGAAGCCGATTGGGTGGCCGCCGTGACGTCCCAGGTGGAAGTACCGCCTTCCCGAAGCCGCCCATCGGGGAGGAAGAAAAGCCCGAACAGGAGGATGCGTCTCTCCTGTGCCCAAGAGTGGATGCTGCCTTCTGGCACCACTCTAAATGCCATGGCTCAACGCTGTGGAGTGCTGGGAGTTATAGTTGTACAGGTCTTAAGCCCTCTCTGACAAAGAGTGCTGGTTCCTCACCAAACTACAACTCCCAGGATTGCATAGCATTCAGACATGGTCGTGAAAGTGGTGCCAAAATGTGGTTTGTTTGTTTACTCTATTAGTATACCACCTTTCTCACCCCTGGGGGAACTCAAGGCGGTTTACAACATACTAATGGCAAATATTCAATGCCATTTCCCCCAGCTGCAGTTTCAGTAATGTATCTTATAAAAACCTTTGCTTCTTTTTGTATCGTGATAGTTTTGTTTTGTTTTGAATACTTTTTTTCAGAATAAAATAAATTAAGGTTTTATTATTGTAAATACGCAAACAGATAAATAACACACCTGCTCTTCAGCTTAGAAATGGAGAAGAGCACCACCCCCCAGAGCCAGATTTGACTAGACTTAATGTCAAGGGGAAACCTTTATCTTAACAGTGTGTAACAGTACAAGTTGTATCTAGAAGTTTTGGGGTTTTGGAATACCTGTCCCTGTAAAGGATGTTCAACTTGTATTTGGGTGGTTTGGTTCAATTTTTTACCTATTAGGTTTTCACTTCTATTTATTTAACAAAGAATTGAAAGTATACATATCAATAAACTAATATTAATGCAATTATAGACACTAGTAATGAACAATATTGTAAAAGAAATGTGGAACAGAAATACGGAACAGCAATATTGTGAAAGAAATATGGAATATGCAGTCCTGTCCTCCCTAACGCGTTGGAGCACTGAAAAAAAATACTCTAGTGTTTTGTTTTGTTTTTGACACTACAGAAGGCTATAGTATCAGGCACAAAATTGCATCGCTGAATTCTCTGCTAGACTTTCTCCTCTTGTTTCCAGTTGTCAGTTCCTTCACTTCATGCATCTGATAGAGTAGATCAAAATCTATGAAATCTTACACTACCAACTTTTTTCTTTCAGTGAATCGCAAAGGTGCTACAAGATCCATTTGCCCTGTAATTGTGCCACGAAGTTGGTCCTAGTCAAAAATCTGGACTAAATATTCTGAAAAATAAAAGACATTTGGGATATTATTCATAAAACATCCAAAATTTGCTCCAAAACTAGAGTTTATATAGGAACTTGATAAACGTATTTCAATTACCGTAAAATTATCCAGTATATATATTTTGATTAAACAAATCAGGGATGAGTTAGGGTTCCACAGAAAGTAGTTGTCTTCAACAGGGTTCCATGACTGAAAAGGTATGGGGATTGCTGGGAACCATCCACACTGCAGAATTATAACAGATTGATGCTAGTTTAACTGCCATGAATCCATCTTGTAAACTCTGGGATTTGTAGTTTGTTGTGGCATCAGAGCTTTCAATCAGAGAGATAAATATCACACAAAACTACGCATCCCAAAATGACATAGCATGGCAGTTCAAGTTGTCACACGGCTATAATTCTGCAGTGTAAACACAGCCATGGCCATGTTAGTCTGGACTAATATTTCCCCAATTTAGGTCCTCCATCTTTGTTTGGACTTCACCTCCTAAAGCCCCAGCCAGCTTGGCCAAAAGTCAGGAATTCTGGAAGCAAAGGTCTAAAGATAATGGAAGACTAAGTCTGGGAAGCGCTCGTCTGGATGATCCCTGGTTAAGCATTGGGGGCCAATTCATCATTGGATTTTGGAGCATTCTGTATTTCTGGATAAAGAATGCTTGGCCTGTATTATGTGAGCAAGGATTTACAAGGAGCACATTTGCATGCATTGAGCACTACAGCCAGGAACTATTTTTTTCCTATTGTGATGTGCAATGGCTGGTGGAAGGATCCTGCCCATTCCGATAAGTAAGGCTGTCCCACTGGTTCCATACTGGTTTTTCTCACTCCCTTCATTACCAGAGCTTTGGGCAGGATGAGAGAGAGAGAGATTGAGGGAACAGGTAGATGGAGGAGCATTAAATACATAACCAAAAATAGAAGAGAGGAACAACTGGGAAATCTGGGAAAGCTATGGTAAACCATAGTTCAAAGTTTCAAAGCTAACCAAGGAACTTGTGAAGCTGACCTGAATCTCCTTTGGCCACCTTCAGCATTCTTCATGCCTTTGAAGATCTGCGCAGTGAGTTATTTTGACACAAGGCACAGCCATGGCTATTTGGGTCCATTGAGATAGAAGGGGTGTCCAGTTCTCCCTTTGCTTTGTTATGTCCTTTCTTTTAAAATATTTATTATTTTAACAGCAGATTTAAGCTGAAATCAAAAGTTGTTGTTAGAAAATTTTATTTGATGGTGCCAAGATTCATTGGGACCCCAGAGATTAGCATGCAGCCACCTCCGCTGTAAATTTTTATTATTATTTTGCATGACATCCATCAGTATTTCTAAAAAGCAAATGAGAAAGAAAATAAGCAAAACCACATCAAAAGAAAGAAACAAAAAAACGTTCTCAGCTTTGAATTATGTCCTGTTTGAATTTAAAATCTCTGCAGTTAACATGCTGGTTCGGTTAGAATAGGAAGCGCTGCCTTAATTTTAAAGAAATAAGAGATGCTCTTGTTGTTTTTGTGAATCGTTCTGGGGTCTTTGGTTGAAGTAGGGGCACCATTCTCGTTATTTCAGATGTCTTCCTTCTAACTTGTTGATGTCTCATTTGTCTGGATTTTTACTGGTTTTCCTTTGGGGGAACTGGGAGGGCTGGGGAAGCATTGGTATTTTGGGATTGATTTTCCTAGATCTGTAAAGGAATCCAAGAAAGTTGCCATTGCAATGGACAAAGATACTGGTGGGTCACCTTTTTACTCTTTCCCTACAAAGCGAAAATGTTATTGTGGAGGATTTCCTTTTTTATGTTTTAAATACTTGTTGTGTTCTAACAACATGGTATTCATTCACAATCAGCTACAGACATCATGTCAGTAAGTACCACAGCATTCCTCTTTCTCTATGTTGAAATGTATTCTATTTATTTCTGTGGGATTCCTAGTTTGGGGCTGGAAACAGAGTGGGGCATTTTGAGATTATTTTTTACAGATCAAGAAAAAGTAATTCCCTCCCTCTGTTTTACACAATGCATGACTTACATTTAAGAAACAAGACTTGTTTGCTGTGAACCCTAAAATCCTGATTTATAAATATTTGTGACAGCTCACTTTTGTATTGCTTTTGAAGCTGGATCTAGCAATTTTTGTCTCAAATTTATAACTTCTAAGCAGAAAAGAGGAAGCATTGACTTCAAATCCTGCTCAGTGCTGCAGTTTTCAAGGTAACATGCTTAGAAATATCACTTTTTAAGCTATATATAGCAGTCAGCTTCTTTTGTCCATAAATTTTCACTTGGAAGGAATATTATTAGCAACACTTTTGAATTCTTATAGATAACTAATTATTTTTCTTCAGAAGACAGGCACATGTTTCTTAATAAGCACTATATAAGTGTCACATCCTCAAATAGTTAGAATAAGCAGCCTATGCATTCTGAATTACCTGAATTATTTTTAAAAGCCTTTTATTCATTATTTTAATTGTGTTAAAACTGATTTGCTATAGTACTTGTATAACTTAAATTCTATGTTAATATTTAGCTTCTGTGGGTTTTTAATGTTACTGCTTTTTACATCTATGCCATTTTTAGTCTCAATTCTGAGAAATAATAATAACAGTAACAATAACAATAACAATAACAATAATAATAATAATAATAATAATAATAATACTTGGCT